CTGCTGTCAGGTCTCAGGTGAGCTCAGCACGGTGCCCTGCACAGGACGGGAGGAGTTTTTATATCCCACTGGAGTCAGGAAGCAGATAAGTAAACAAAGCGCAGCTTACATAAAACACCGCGAGATCACCCGCCTGCTGAGATTACGATTTAAAGGGCAACACCACCGATATTTATCCTCATATTTCAGTTGCACGCACATGTTCAGTCCACATAAACATGAACAGTTCTCTGCTCCTAGCCGCCCATGTCGACAAAAAACATCGCTGAATGACCTGCTGTGCCTTTAAATTCTTATAAAACACAAAAGAATAAGAGTAATTATCAGCGGTGTAGCTGCGCCTGGCTTCGAGGCTAAAGCCCTTTGACCTACTTTTTTTTTTTCAATTTAACAAACGTGTCAACATGAAAATAGCGCTAAATCTATTCATGTGTTAAAGCCCTAAAAAAGTTATATAACCCAGTTGATCAAAAATGGGAGGGTATTATTGTAACTGTGAAAGCGGTTGGTCACCTGAATAACTTTAAATATAATCTAGAAAAACAAGTATTTCCAATTCACACTTTGAAATGCAATTATAGCTAGATAAATCAGCATATATAAGACTGATTTCAAGGTTGTTGTTTTTTTTTTTTTACACACAAAAACTTGATCATTTGCAAAGTTTACAGAAATGTAGATCTTCAATATACAGGTATCATAATGTGCAAAGTTTGCAAAATTATAGGTCTTTAACAATAAACAGAATAATCATAACATCACATAACTTGCCAGGGGGAATAGGGGTTTACAAGATAAATTTTGCCAACAGAGTGACGGGATTAATAATGAATGTTTCATTAGGCTTTGTCTTATTTCTGTTAAAGTCAGAGAGGCCAAAAAGCACATCCCTTCAAAACAGCTTAAATTATTTTTCAATGTTTCGAGCAATAAAATTACAAATATCGATCCAAAAGCTTTGGACAACAGAACAGTGCCAAAACAAATGAGTAACTGTTTCAGCATTCACAGAATAGAAAGTGCATTTCACATCAATGTCTCTTTTGAATCTTTTAACAATGTCAGAATCAGAATCAGCTTTCATGGCCAAGTACGTACACAACACACAAGGAATTTGGTTTCGGCTGTTGGTGTCGCCCTAGGAATTTGCACGAATAATAGAAACAGGAAAATTAAAAAATAAAATAAAATAAAGTAAAATAACTAAAGAAAGAAAAGAATAAAAAAAGAAGAATAAAATACGTGATCATTAGACGGGTAAAACTTATGAATATTTTAAACGAGATTTCTCTAACTTTGTTGGTCAACAGATATCGGTTGGACCGTTTTCCAGTCAATGTGTGACTGATTTCAAGGTACACAGTCTGAGAACCACCAGTTGAGCAAGTCTGTGATGTTACTGTGAAACACGGGTTAAACATAGAACTAAAGTCAGATGAGTTTTATTTTGTTGTGAGCACAGCATCTCCCATATTAGATTCAGTTTAGTCTGAAATAATTCCAACTTTAAAAATGCTGTCATTTCTCCCATATCTCTTGTAATACGCGAACAGGGAATACATTTAAGTCTACATACATATTTGATTAATCATTTTTGTTTTATTCATTTTGCGACATCAACATAAATGATCATTCTCTGTAAAAGACTGATTAAAGACCTTACTAATTCTGAAAGTTGCATAGGTGATAATTGTATGCTGCTGAGTGGTATCGAGCATCACGTATTGATTGCTTTAAGTCGTTCAAAAGAACTGGATCGTTGTCACATGACCGGAAGCTTCCTGGTCCTATAAAAGCCTCCGCGCTGCCGCCTGCTCGACTCCATTTGCCTGACGACGACTGGACGTTAAACTTCGAGCAAGAAGAAGCTACGGACGCGCTTTCGAAATTTATTTGACTACAAACCAACAAATTCGAGCAATTTCGGTTCTGTTGTGTAAATTGTATTGTGATACGTTTTTCGTAGGTGATATTCTTGACACAGCGGTTTATATCGACATTAACAGAAAACGGTTTCAAGCTACAGTCGACCTGGTGAGTTACACAGCGGCAGCTAGCATAACTTTGTTTTTTTTCGATGTAGAATAGTGTGCAACTGCTTTTATCGGCTTTGTGGAGAGTCACGTATTATATGTGTATTTGTAAGGTTTGTGCCGGCTTTGTGTTTAACCACGAGCTGTGTGTTTTGTTATGAAGGCCTTTTAGGTGATACCAGGCGTTAGCTTCAGCTAGTCGAGTTAGCCTGAGCTTACGTCACTCTGGAAATTTCCAGCGCTGTCCAGTCAGCCGTTGTAGTTACGCAACGTTGTTCTGCTCGGTGGGAGCAGCACTGAGTAAACAATTATGCAACAACAGGCATACACAGGCGCTAAATGGTGTTTCTAAAGGGTTTTTCTGAACTGTTTTCTGGTTTCCTACTACTACTATACCAGCTCTGTTAAGATTTGATAACTTTAAATTTGTTTTTTTCCCCTCAAATACTGATGCAGTTTTTCTTGTCATTTCAGCCTGTGGCAGAAAACATAACAATGGCCAAGGAAGCAGCCTCACCCTCTGAAATGGCCCATGCCCGTCAGAGCGACGGCATCAATGTGATCTTTGACAAGGAGAGCCCTGACTCATCTCGCACTCGTTCTCGATCCAGAAGCATCTGCAGCAGCAGTCGCTCTTCAGGTCTTCACAGGGGACGTAGCAGCCGCAGGGTTTGTTACAGGTCCTCCTCTTCATCTTCATCATCATCAAGCAGCTCATCCTCTTCTCGCCCCAGGTCTCGCTCTCACCCTCGTTGCCACAGACGATCCTCCCGCTGTCGCTGTGATGACCATCGCAGATATGGCTGTGGTGGTAGCCGCCGTTCTCCGCCACGCCGTTACAGAGCACAGTCCCGCTCCTACAGCCGCTCAGGCACGCCAGACAGGTACTCAAGCCGCAGACGCTACAGGTCCCGCTCCCGGTCCCCCAGCCGCTTGAATAGGGAGAGGAGACATGTGAGCCAGTACAGACGCAGGCGTTCCCCATCCCAGCCCAGATCTTACAGGAGCCGGTCGAGATCTAGATCATCTGCACAGTCTGTCACTTTGAGTTTGCATGGTAAGTTGAATAGATGAAATGTGGAAACATTCATTACTGTATGTATCTGTATAATTAATCCAGAGAGGCAGACTTTGGAATAAACTAAATCTTTTCTCTCAAATTCTGTTTTCCACAGATAAACAAGTACTCCTTGAAGCAGCAAAGTCCAATGCCATGAAGACCATGGGAGTGGAGAAGCTAGACCTACCTGAGAGTGTAAAACCAATCCTACCAGAGCAGCCAGCAGAGTCCAAATGGGCGTCACCAGAGCCTGAGACATGGGTGAGACAAGGCCCTCAAAAGACTGCATCACAGGTGGGTGTCTTTGAGTGAATGTTGGTGTAAGTGGAACACAGCACAGTGAAGATGAGACTTTCTCTTACAGTCTAAAGGCCTAGAGGTACTTTTTCCATTTTGACTTGCAATTATGAAGCAAGGGGTGTTAAGAACCTGAGAATGGCTTACAGCTTTTCATACAACTTGTGCATAACAGTGCACTGACAATTACTTTTAACACACAGGACATGGATTGTAGATTTTACCCTTCAAAGGTTGGTTTAATTCAAACTTTTTTTTTTAGAATTATTGATCCTAGTAGTCTGACCATTGTACCAAAGTTCAGCAAACACTACCGTTGTCTACTGATTTGCTTGAGGCCTGTGTTGTGTTGAATTTCCTGTGTTGTGTTAACCTTTGGACCCATGAGGGAACACACATACTCTCTGTATTTATTCCTGTCTTCATAGATAACATGACAGTGGTCTCCTTCACTCATCGGCACCTGGGATTAAAGGGCTGTCATGTGACTTGGGTGACGACAATATTTGTTTGCGTGAAAGGTTAACTGATAACTCCTGAAATGTTCACCATGTGTCATCAACTTAGAGGTTAGACTAACACAGATGTAGATTGCCACATTATGACATGATGCAGACAGTCCATACAACTGCTAATTACACACATAGATACACTCATAATGATGATACACAAGCAATTCAGATCTTTGCTCAGCTTTACAGAAGTACAAGAGAGAATTGTGACATTACAAATGTATTTATGCTTGCAGTTGAAATGGGTCGTTGTTATTTAGCAGAATCCACCACTTGCTGATGGAGCGCAGGCGTGTGGACTGGGTTATAATGACTATTCCTGTCAAGAGAACTAAAAACAGATGAAGAACTCCTCTCCGTATGCCAAAGATAAGTTGGTACACAAGGCGTGTGCTGAGGGGCTGGGAAACCTGCGTCACCATCATTATGCCATTGTAGACAGAGAAGACAACCTTTTTTACTTTTTATCTTTTGTTTACATTTTTTTGTTGCTTTATCCTGTTTCAAGGCCAGTCCTTGAAGCTTTCATTAAGTGGTTGGGAGGGGCTGCATGGGAGCTGCAGTTTGTTGAAGATAATGCTTAATTACTGTTTATCCATGCAATAGAAATGCTTTACAGTTTTAGTAATTGTAATCCATATTTACGAACCTCACAAACTGTCAAAGCTCACTATATCATCGGTTTCATACTCATGACTCATTATGCGCATTTTTCTTGTTTTTGAAACAGAGCAGCGACGAGGAGTCTGACGACATGCCGAGTCCAAGCACATCCCCAAAAAGAAAAATCATCTCTTTCAGCATTAATGTAAGTGACCAGAAAAACTCTTAATTCTTAATCATGATAAAACTGGACATTACCCTGATTTGTTTTCTAACATTTGAATTTCTTTCTTTCTAGAATTCTGTGGCCAAACCAACTGTGGCAGCTCCATCTTGTGCTAAGGTAACTCCCAGAGTGGACAGCTATGAGAGCAGGAAGCCGTACGGCCACTGGGTTCCAGTCAAATCAGGCCGGACCTCCAATGCACGCAAGCACACTCTGACCACATCACATTAGAGTGGCAGATTACACAGACAATGTAAATACTGTAAATATTTTGTACATATCTGATTTGTCCCTTTACGGTCGACATTTTCTTTCAGATGTTAAAGATTTAAGTGGGAAGAAGTGAAGAATTTGTTCAGGTGGGATTATTTCATTCCCTTTGTGTACTGTGGTATTTATAGATTCAATAAAGACCTTTCATAAAAAAATACAAATTGTAAGGTTTTTTTTGTGTGTGTGAGTAGTAGCATAAATCAGAGGTGGCATTCAGTTGAGGTAAAGTCAACTAGGGGTAACTCTCCAAGAGCTCAGGTTTCAGAACTTCTAAGGTAACGATATTGAAGCGCAAGGACACATAATGTTCAACAAACCTTTTGTATGGATGCGTGTCACGACTGTAATTAAATTAACCACTTGTTAATTGAGATTTTGTGGTGCAGTATCACTTGAAGACAAAACATCAAATAATATTTGAAAATGAGAATCCACAACAGTAGGCACATGGACTCGGTGTACTGGGAAAGATGTTGAGGTGGCACATGGACTTGGTGTACTGGGAAAGATGTTGAGGTAGCACATGGATCTCCAGACTAACAGATATAGGGTTTACTTGTTGACCCTTTAAATTTACAGTGAAAGTATTGTTGAGGATTCACACTTTAGGATGGTGCTGTTGTCTGACAAAGAACATGAGTAAACACAAAAATGTGTACAATCAGTTGTACTTGGTGATGACCACTTGGTGGCAGTATATTCTTAGTTTATGTATCACCTGATAAAAGATAAGGAATGAGGTTTCTGCAGAAGGTTTCAGACTTAATCATTTCTGTTAACCTTTGTTTTAGTGATTAATGTATGACTGTAAGAACATTGCTCTGGGATATTAAACCAAACAGAGCCACCATTAATAAAACTGGTGCCACTTGTGCACTCCCTGCTATGAGCACCAAAGTGTCTACTTTGAAAAAGGCAGATAAAATATATCTGTTACAATCTGGAAATCACGCTCACAGCTCTTTTCCTTTTGCCAGTTGTACCTCAGGTGATCACCAACCACCTAATCCTACAATTGTCAGCGAAACACAGAATCTGAGCGTGTTCCTTCTTGAGCGACTTGATAAATATCCTGCTGTTGTGGCTGCCGTTCCACTTACCCTAAAGCTTGTGTCTATTAAGCTCGACAGCTTCTTGGCACGTGGTAAAAAATACTACCGAGTTATTGCTAGGAGCTAACGTATCTGCTGGGTGGCAATAAATTTAAGTCAGACTGATATTGCGATACATGCCACGGTGTTGTAATAAAAGGTAAAATCACAGTTTTGAACAGGTCTTCCTGCCAGACTCTGTGTCTCCTGCTGTAAACTGACCTGTATTTCTGATTAATTACTTTGATGGGAGATAGCACAAGTGGATACATAACAGAGCAGGTCTTGGAGCAGAGCTGATGCTAGCAGCAGGGTTTAAATGTTGTTTACTTGATACAAATCAGATGCATTGATTTGCACACGAAGCAAGCTCATACCTATTTTTAACCATCAAAAGAAGAGAGGACAGGTTTATCTTGTCATTCTTGCCCAAGTCGCAGATTTCATATAAATAAGCTGCGTGTTGTTTGTTTTTGTCGTGCCACCTAATCACATGTAGGAACCTGCTATGTTTCCTCGGCTTAAATCAAAACCCATTTCACTTTACAAGGAACACAAAACCTGGCTGTGAAAAAAAACACAAAGGCGTCAGACACAACAGCGAATTAACGCAGCATCGTTCGTTATTCAGTTCCCAGCCAATATCCTCGGGCTAATCAGATAAGACTACAAAAATATCACAATCATAAACCTGAAGATTTAATCCACTCCACTCCCTAACAGCTCTACAACAGAGTCGGATATCAAAGGCTGAAAACCTCCCCTGGCCTTCATCTGTAAAGCATAAACATGCGTCATGGCGTCTTTGAACAGCGTCCTTTGAGAACATCCCATAAATATATTCTTTGAGGTTCACCAAGAGGATTGACTCATCCAGATACAATGTAATTCAAATAAATACTGAGGCTAGTCTCACCCAAGTTGGTGTATCTCTTCCCCACAAACACCAACAGCCGTCTGTCCTGTAGAGGGTGCAATGCCACCACATTCCAACCTCCTTGACGGGAGACTTGCATGGGAACCTGTTGGCATGTCTTCTCTGCAGTCACAAGGCTTTCCTGCTTATGTCGCAGCTCTGGGCAATTTAGTACAGAGATGGAGATAAATGAATAAATTGAGTTAGTGAGTTGTTGCCTCTTATCTCTGTGCACCTACACTCAAACATTCTGTTGGCTGACGTCTTCTGCTAAACATGCCCCGAGGTGTGACGGTAGTTAGTGGTAGTTTCATTCTCACGCTCGATATGTCTCCGTCATGAGACCACACACAGTAAACCCACAGAAAAACTAACAAGTGTGCAAGATAACTGCATAATTGGAAGTGGTTTATTTAAAAAATAAGGATAATAACAGAGTTGTTTAAACTTCTAATACTGTACAAAGCAACACCAAACATTAAATCGCTTAAGGAATATTGTATTAACTTTCAGCTCGGGGTAACATCTGCATGATATAAAAACTGCCTTTACAATACACACTCTGTTTAATTCGTAAATACGTGGAGTCTTGCTGATGAATCCGAGACTCCTAAATGAAGACAAAGCTGAAGCAGTGAACCGCTGAGGTGACTGGACCCACTAGACAGCTGTTCCTCTCTCCAAGTTCTGTTTGATCTCTGCTGTGTATTTGCCGTAGAAACGCTCCGCCTTCTTGTTGAACTTGGCATTCCTCTCGTTAATGTAGTCGATGTCGGCGTCGTCGTTGTAGGCCCTGCGTCGGCTGTACTTGGCCCGCTTCTCGATCCTGACAATAGCAAATAAAAGCAGCTTAGGGAGGATTTCATAAACCAGTACGGTCACTATCCATGGCATATCCAATAACAATAATTGGCCACAGGCAATAATTTGGGGGTATGCATTTAAATTTGGCAAGGAGAGTGGCGATGGAAAACTCAACACACACACACACTCAAAGGAAAATACTGTCAATTTGTGAGCTCCTACTCTTGATTCACTGTGTCTTCAAAGCATTGTTGTGCGTCATTCCCTGGCAACCCAATCCTTGTCTAATGCCCCACAGTTGCATCCCTAGCACAGGCCTGAGACTGTCTCAGATACAGAACAGCTCAGGGAGAGACCAGAGTAATCAAAGGTGAAAGAGACTTCTGTAGCACAGACTAAACTGAAGCCCTTTTTCAGACATGGCGTACAAAAAAATGCTGGCTTCATCAGTGTGTTAAAATGCGGCGTTCTGTCTTTCAGACAGGGGTCACTTCTACTTTGAAGTTCCTCAGGACTTCATTCAGACACAGTTAAATTTTTTTTATACACAAGACTGGACAGTACATCAAGCGACGTAATACATAATAAAGCACTGTTGAACAAGAGACTACAATCTAAATCCACTTTGTAACCAGAGTTTAACCGTAGCTTACTAACCCTGTCTCTGTTTGTGAAAGCTCACCTGTCAGATGTAAAGAAACGTACGTAGTCTCAGTTAGATCCTGACTGAGGTTGTGTCCTTGTTGGCATAATTTATAGTTTGTAATTATTGAAGGTACTGCCATCGTTTCACGTGTGTAAATGCGAGCACCTTTGCCTCCCTGGACAATCACATGGAGATCCTGTATGATGCTGCAGGTATTTAATAAACCCACTACTAAAGACAGCTGGAGGCAACAAACTCAACTTCAGCTCCTGTCAAAACTCACATTACATTCATTATGGGTGAGCCTCACTGCCCGACGCATTCTGTCTTCATTACAGTAGTCTGCGTCACCGGATGCACATTGTGTGTCTGCCATTGGCCACTCAGTTCAGGCTGCTTTTTCCTTCTTTGTCCATACGAGCTTGGTTTCCAAAATCCACTTCAAAACTTACCACGCTGAAACATCCAAATTTGAAAAAAGGCCCCCCGGTCCGAAAAGGCCGAAAATGCCCCCAAAACAAAAGTGGGGGGGGCCGAAGGTAAAAAAGGCCTGACTAAACTCACTGTCATTCTGAAATATATGGGGTGAAAAAAAACAACATCCTGGCTTGTTTGGATTATCGAAGTCAATCATAATCACCAAGGTTGAGCCCAAACAGTTCTGCGCACCCCCCATGCTTCTCTTAAACGAGGTCATGAGAGTAAAATGAATTTAGGAGCATTTTACATTCAACAAATTATCTTTCTTATATCGATTGTTTTTGCCAGAGTTTTCCCATCATTAGCTGTGAGCTTGGTCATGTGCTTCTTATAGTTTGTTACTTGGAACAGCCACAGGGAAGCAGAAGAGCATCAATCAGTACAAAGATTTATCTTAGCAATCTGCCCAGTGAGGAAGGCTAGTACAGAACGGGCAGCCTGACAGACAGATAAAACAAAGTATGGGTCAGTGAAGGACACGTCATCTCTTTTATTTACTGTCCGTTGAGCGTGACTTACTGCTTCTCAACGTCTTCCACCATGCGGTCAATGCCCTCCTTTGTAGGAACATGGGTGCCATGGATCAGGCTATTGGATGTGGGGTAGAAGTCCTCACCACTGTGGAACACCAGCAAAAGAATTAGAAATACATCACCACAGATGATCATCATCTTAATATGCTTAAACTGACTTTTCTATTCCATCATTGTGATAGTGGTCATCCTAAGCAGACAGAATGATGGGGCTTCGGGGCTTATTGTGATGGTGCATCCTTCGCGGTTTTGCATGTGGCAGCTTTTAGGAGTGAAAAACCTTCAGGCACTGAATTCCCCTGTGACCTTCGCATGCATGCCCTGCTTTTCCGCTTTAAAATCTTTAAATTATTTCTATAGTGTCCAGCTACGTCAAAACTAAACCCAGGGCAAATTGGGGGCTGCATGCGTCAACACAGAGAAAACGCTATATGCACATGTGATGTGTGAATTTAAGGCTCATAATGAGAATCTAATGTTTACAATTCATTTTACTTAACAGGAAATTTCACAGTCATGGTCTTAAAAGCAGTGACCCTCTTGTGGGTCCTTTTAATGGGAATTCTAAGAATTGTTTTGATGCCAGAGGACATGTCTTCCCCTTTTGGGCTGTCTGACTATCCAGATGAAGTATTAAACGACACACACACACAGCACAGGAAGTTGGAAGAGTGGCTGAACTGACCTTTCCTCCCTTTGCCTCTCGTAAGTTTCCAAGTCTGGTCTGATCTGCTTGGTGAGCCTCTGGTACTGTCGGAATTGGGCTTCAGCATAACCTGTAGTCCATTGTGTGTTTGTGAGACGGGGAGGAAAAAAAAAATAAAAAAATAGAAGAGTTATAATTAGCGGAACAAACAGCAAACAGGCACGAGGCTCAGCAGCATAACCTGAGGCTAGTGGAGGAGGGATGAAGAGGCGACGCTCCTCCTCCCTTCCTCCCTTGAAGACCCTCTGGTGATAATTTTCTCCCCAGAGGTTTTAATTCCGAGGAGGTTTTGATGCAACAGATGGCAGCCATATTTAGAAAGCACAGCAAGTCTTTTTTCAATAGATTAAACCGGGAGCAGTTTGACATGATTAGGATCCAGGTCTTCACATTACAGCCAGTATTTCTCTATACTATGCAGCTGAGGAAGATTTATGCAGTGCCACCTTGAATACCAGCATTTCACTGTGCAATAATGTGGAAAACCTCTCTAATGATCACATGCTACAGCACAGTAAAACAAAATAGAAGACCAGTATCACGGTGCACCACTTTCCTCGAGCGTAAATTGTATTAAATTACGATTTACTAAATGAACAGGCTGAGGTTCTATAGCGTGACAGGAGGGTTACCCATGCCTAAAATAAAGCTGTTTGATCTAATTGCCTTTTACTTCAATGCTACTTCCTGATGTAGCTATGAACACTTGCAGAAGAATTCCAAAGTCAATACTATCATTAAGCGATGAGTATTTCAGTGTGTTCAAAAAAAAAAAAGTTCAACAATCATATTAGACATGAAAGGGACAGAAACATCTTTCCCTCTAATTGATGAAGAAATCTGCTATTAGATTAGATTTCCTATAACAGTTAAAGTTAAATAAGACCGCTGTCTTTAGTCTGTGCCTTACACAGCTGCTTATTTGTTAAATTGAATATGTGGTTGGTGACAGCGTGTACCGGCTAATCAAAAGCTGGCATCCTTAGGGTTTCTCATACAGACAAGTCAATGTTAAATGTTGTGTTCATGCTGTTGTGTGTGACTAAAGAGCAGGGCGCTGTGTCATTAGACCCCAAGCTCTTTTCCATCTTGGACTAGAAATCTGAAACCGTAAAAACTTGGTCATGTTAAGCATCATCTGTTCCGCTTTCTACTGATGGTAGAAAAACCACAAAATTCAAAAGAACAGTGCAACTTTGACAAAATATCAACAAATGAAGAGCGTGATTAGGTTCATTTTGTCTACTCTGATTTTAGGTGTAAGGTTTCTTTCTTTTTTTTTTTAAAATCAGACTGATTATTTGTTAGATAGGAGCTGTTTTTATCTTTGACATGTTTCGACTGTCACTTAAGTCTTCCTCAGAAACATCACTGACGTCTGTGGTGACGTGTCTTTATCAGCTGGTCGTTTCCTGGAGGAGGTGTGACCCGCTGGGCAATCTGTCGGATTTGCCCGACGGGCCACAACTCCTGCCGCCCGGTGGTCTCTGCAGGAGACACTAAATTTAAACGCTGGATCAAGGAGGCCATAGAAATCAAGAGGTGAGCCAAAGACACCATGAACCGTGACAAGGGGACATTCATGCTGTCCCACACATGACATGAGACGTTCTCCAGCAGAGACTACCGGGCGGCAGGGGGCATGGCCCGTCGGGCAAATCTGACAGATTGCCAGGCAGGTCACGCCTCCAGGAAACCACCAGCTGATAAAAACATGTCACCACAGGCGTCAGTGATGTTTCTGAGGAAGACATGAGTGACAGTCGAAACATGTCAAAGGTAAAAAACAGCTCCTATCTAAAAAAAAAAATACTCATTGTCTGATTAAAAAAAGAAACCTTATACAACAAATGAAGAGGTAAACCGTGAACTTCAGGCAGTAAACAAACTGTACATTGTGCTGTGGGTAGGGAATTTAAGTGACCAAGTGGACAGTAAATCAGGGGGAATATGGCATTTCAGCTATCCGCCATCTAGAATACTGTGACAACATTTTACCACACAAGCCAAAAGAACCACAGAAAAAACTGCACATATTTATTCCGCCTGTTCACTGAATACTACTGGCAAAAGAGCAAGGAGGTAAACAGATTTAGTTGCCTTCATCTGTAATTTCATTTCATATGTTAAAGATAGCGCAGTTGGTAGCACTGTTGCCTTGCAGCAAGAAGGTTGCCGGTTCGCGTCCCGGTGGGGGCACCGGGGTTCTTTCTGCATGTTCTCCCCGTGCAGCGTGGGTTCTCTCCGGGTTCTCCGGCTTCCTCCCACAAGGTCCAAAAACATGTTGAGGTTAATTGGTGATTCTAAATTGTCCGTAGGTGTGAATGTGAGTGTGCTTGGTTGTCTGTCTCTAAGTGTGGCCCTGCGATGGACTGGCGACCTGTCCAGGGTGTCCCCTGCCTTCGCCCTAAGTCGGCTGGGATAGGCTCCAGCCCCCCCGCGACCCTAATGAGGATTAAGCGGTGTATAAATAATGGGTGGATGGATGTTAAAGATAAGGTGATAAAAAACAAACACACCACCTCTTGACCATGAGATAAACTACTTCCTCATAAAATTCTTACTAAAATCCTCGACACCAAGGCAAAAATAATAAACCAGTGAAATGAATCAGTTATCTGAAACAAAAAAATACTGTGTTCTAAAACTCACTCATGCAGTTTCCTTGTGCAAACTTTCATGTTAGTTTTTTTTTCTCCATAATTTCGGAGCCTCGTAAAATCTTCACAGTCTGTTATGATCTACTCCGTGGTGCTGTCTTCTCTGTTCAGCATCCTCCTCAGGCTGATATTGTAAAAAGACCATTAGGAAAACCACAGGAACTGCCAAACATAGTGTTGGCACATACAACAAAAAGTTGACAGGGTAGCTTGCTAATGTTATGAGCTGTTGCCACATCAGCCTAAACAAATCTAGTTAGACTTAATTTGAGGTGTTTTCAACGGTCATTTTCTTCAAATTTTGGACTCTGATCACCGGCTCAGCCACTAAATATCTCCATACCACAACTTCTGCAGAGTTTTTTTTAAAATCCACTACGGACATGTTACTCCACCTGGACTTTCCAACATCATTCCAGGTAATCCCTGTCTCCAGTAAGCCACCTGGGACAGCTGTAGGATTTTTGGTACCTTAAGTACCACAGAAAATAAGAACCAGTGTAGTGCTAATGTATTGGTTCTTATGACATCCTTACTGACTCATCAGTTTGTTTAAAAATAATAGACACAGCAGAGACAGACAGGAAATGTGGGAAAGAGAGAGCAGGGGAATGACGTGCAGTAATAGTCTGGCCAGCTGGAAGTTCAGTCTTGGATTCAGCTACTGAGGTCTATCACCCATGTGGTGCTGTAATCATTTCACCATCGAATCGACCCTTGTTCTTACTTTAGAACCCATCTCACACTCCACAAAGTGCATGCAGCACAGCGTGAACAATATGTGTGTGTCTGTGTGTGTGTTTGGAGGGAAGCTGCCAACCTGCAAATCCTGTGTCTGGATTCTTCTTCTTCTTCTTCCTCTCCCATCGCTCTGCATCATCAGCTGTGATTTCCAGCAGTTTCACTCTGTCATACTCCTCCCCCCGATCAGCACAGTCCTGAGTGTCAAATATCATTTTTTCAATAAGTACAAAGCAGGCAGAATGTGCAGAATTGTGCAGTAAGCTTTAGGCACCAATGTTCCCAACATTTGATCTGATCCCAAATTAAATTTGCAGTGCGACAACAACCCTTTTATAAAACCAGAGTCACAAAGAACCATATTCAGTGACAAGAGCAAACTGTCCAGCAGTAGATGACTGCATGGACCTAGGTGTCTAGTACACTGTGCTGTTACGTGATAGCAGTCCATGCATGTATTGTACTCAGTATAAAATGAAAACTCATGCATTTTTATTTGTGAAAATTACTTGCAACCTTTGTAAACTTAACAGCGTTTCCGTTTGTGCCATATTTAAAAATTAGACAGTGTGAATTAATAATTATTTCAGAACGATCCATGAGCACAACGTTCAGATACTGTTTTAACTATGACCAGAATCATACGATATGATTCTATATTTTTTTGTTCTACAAATTTCTGTCCCATGGAGACTTAGGATTTTTATTTTACACATATGGACTAATATATTTACACATATCTACCACATTTGCAATATTTATATTAGAAAATAAACTCATTAATACATTGATTTTGCTTTACAATAAACTACAATATTACTCAACTTCTAAACAGGTAGATCAATGTGAGGAGAGAAACAGACAACAACTGAGTCTACAACCTTACTAGCTGTTGGCTGATCATGATGAAGCTGTTCAACAACATCTAACTTCGTTCTGAATATGCATTTATATGAGTAATGTAGAGTTTATGAGCACAAAAGTAAAGATTAAAATGCCTTTTTCTTTTGATCTTCAGCAAGCTCCCACTCCAGCCGGGCTTTCTTAGCCTCCCAGTTAGCGGGCAGTTTCAGCCTCTTGTCTTCCTCCACAACCTCCTGGTGATTAAGCTTCCGTGCTTCATTCTGCAGAGGAAACAACACAGAATGAAAGGTTGTACAAGTAACAACATGCAAGTGGGTCTATCACAAGCTCTAACCTGAGCAACTACTGATCTGGAACAGAGCATGTACCTAAACATGACTAGTTATTGGAGGTAAAACAGGCATTACTTGAAGTGTAAATAAGACATTTTGCAATTAATCACTGTCCCTTCTGTCAAATGAACAAAATAAATCACAGCTGTACAAGTTGTCACCACGTAGCCAACAACTTATGGGACGCTTTATAACACGCATTTGTTTCTAGAGGGTGAATTTCCCTGATAGAGAAGTTAAACAACTCACTCGTTTGAAATGTAGCTCTCGAAACTTTCGCAGTCTGGCTTCTCTCTTCTCGGACGCGAGAGTTTCAGTCTGTTCTTCTCCAGTGGCTGTGGCAGACTCCTGCAAATACACTTACCATTATCTATGGATTATAAGCTGTAGAATATACCGTTTACTGACCAAGAGCAATACAACGGTACAACATTAGTCAACAACAAGCTAGCTCGAGGAGCTAACGTCAGTTAGCATAGATGCTAACCTTGGTTAGCTCATCACAACAAACACAAGCCTGTAAACAACAAGGGTGGAACTGAAACACAGTCTCTGTCAGCAAAACGGAACACCGCTATCCAAGAGAAATATATTTACCGACCATAATCTGCCACCTTCTAAAGATAAATGTATAGTTAGACGTTAAAAGGTAGAAAATGCTAACCTCGCTACAGGACGCCATTGTTGTGCTGCGCTGAGGAAGAAGACCGGAAACATCGACACTCACACCGGATGTTACGACACAGATATACAGTTACACTGAGTGATGCTGCTATAAAAACACAAGATGATATAACATAAATAAAAAATATTTGTCTAAACATAAAACAAATGTAAATTTAGTGGCAGAACTTCATCTAATAAGTTTCAAAATGTCCATAATTGAAGCCATTATCTTAAAAGTTGACAGAAATTAAAACAAAACCCTTCTTGACAAAAACAGAGTTGTTTTCCTAATTTACTGTTTTTCCTTTCCATATCAGAAATAAATAAATTGCCCTGTTCTGTGAATTGTCATCAATCCTAACAATAAATTTCAAGTCATTGGAATTTAGAAGCATCTTTCCACAAAATAATCCTTTCTAGCCTGACAGTGGCTAAGATGTACCTCTACACCATTGGCTCCTGTAGAATGTGCAGATCTATGAAGTTCCTGCCTCTCTGTCAACCCAGCACACCAGCTCACCTGTGAGTTAAATGCTGCCTAACAACCATAACATTATTTTATATTAACTTAATAGAAGCCAGTAGCAGAATACATCAAAGTATTCTCCAAGTATTAACTGCAGTAGTGAGAAAACATACAGTACGTAGGAGCAGCAGACTCACGTAGTTTTGTTATCTTTTGTCAAAAACTAAGGCCAAAATATGCTATGTCTAATCGTTTCTCAATTTTATTTGACTGTGACCATTATCTAACGACCATCCTGGGGGTTTCCGAACCTATTTTTTAAAACCACCGCACAATATAGTCATACTTGTTGTGACAATTAGTGATAAAAACATATTGAGGAAAATGAACATTTCTCAGCATCAGATGCACCCTTTGCTACTCTTTAATGACATTCCTGTTAAGCAAGATTCAAACTGATACACTCTGAAAAAAAGGCAAGTAAAAAAAACCCTCACTGACGAACACAAAGACATCTCTGAAACTTCCATGAGGACTAGATTAAAAGAGATTTAAAAAAAAAACCCCCAAAAAAACAGGAGAAAGAGTCATAAAACAAGTTCCGCACTGCTGATATTTAAATGTCACACAGTCTAACAGAGATCTTTGTCAGGCACTGCCAAATGGGTCATTTGGCCTCAATTCATTGAATACCCCACGCATAAATCTTCATTAAAAAAAAAAAAAAAGTGTTGAATGAGGACACCCAGGATCTTTCTGCATGGAGTTTGCATGTTCTCCCCATACAGCGTGGGTTCTCTGGCTTCCTCTCATTGTCAGTCGGTGTGAATGTGAGTGTGCTTGGTTGTCTGTCTCTAAGTGTAGCCCTGTGATAGACTGGTGACCTGGGTGTCCAGGGTGTCCCCTGCCTTCACCCTGAGTCAGCTGAGATAGACTCCAGCCCCCCATGACCCTAGTGAGGATTAAGCGGTGTCTAGATAATGGATGGATGGAAGTGTTGAATACTGATTCAGTTCACCATTTATAAGATTTGGGATCATAGTCAACATTAGTTTTTCAGTTAATAATTCTTAAAGAGACGTGGAGTCATGCTAATTTTTGCATTGTTTTAGTCGCACCAATCTGTGGATTAATGTTTGAAGTGCCATAACTTGAGTAATAATGTAGCTGGAGACCTGGTAATTTTGTGGTCTCATTGATATTTTCGTCTTTAATGGAAAAAATCCCAATGCTTTGATAGAATGAATGTAATGAGTGAAATATTCCTTGTTCACCCCATGATCATGGATATTGTACAATTAGCATCATAAAACAATGTTTACAACAATTCATCCTCTGCTGAAGCCATTTTGGCTAATGACAGATATTCACAAAATATACATCCAAATTGTACAACATCAGCCTCTTTGGGGAAAAAAATAAGGAAAATTCACCATATGGTTATAAAATGGGCAACAATATTGCATAAAGAGGCAGCAAATTGGGAAACCCACATTTTTTCACAAATAATTGGGCATAAATTACTTCAAAAAAGTCTGAAGACAAATGTTTAGCAGTCTGAGGAAGAGCATTTTGCTCGAAACATCACGCCAATAAATTGTATAAGGGAGCCTGTTTTGGTGTGCGGATCGTTCTTCTTTTCTTTTCTCATGAATTACTTCAAAACACAGATTTAATGCTGACATTTGTACACCATGTATTATTGCTACCAAGTTTACCAACACAGTGTTTCTATGGGACTCTTTGCTAACAAGGCTATAATGACTTTAAAAACACTGTTATAAAGAAATCAAAAACAAGTTAAAAAAAATATGTCTACCATAAAGATAATAAACATAGATGTGATTGCTGGTATCACTTCTTATAAAATAATTTAATGTAAAGAGTTGGAAAACTGCGATTTTATTTGAGCCCAGTAACAATATTATATAATTCTTCCAGTTGGGACACTATTCACACCTGCTCAATGCATCTTAAAATATTGGCCATAAATGCAAAAAAAAGGTTATGTAATTTTTTTCTTCTTCTCATAAAGTATGCCTATGAGTGGCACCACAGTCTATATTTTTAAAGCTCTTATTGGTGCCAATCACAGGGCAAAGAAAAAGTAAATAAATAAATAAAAGCATCATAGGACAAACAATAAAGGTTTTATGGTTGGTGGAATATCAGAAAAGAATTAAACATTGACATTTTTTGACCAAATTTGCACCATCATTCAACTGGTTTTGTAGCGTTCTATCAAAGCAGGGTTGTACCACTAAAGACCATATGTACATATCAATGAGCCTACGAAATTTCAGGACTGTAGCTACATTATTTGTGCTATGAGATGACTGTTGTTGTAAATATGCGCTATACAAATAAAATTGAATTGAATTGAATTGAATTGAATTGAATTGAATTGAATTGAATTATTTCTCAAGTTACGGCACTTCAAACGTTACTCCACAAATTTGTGTGATGAAAACAAGAAATCGACATGACTCCACTCCTCTCTGGAAATTTTTTACTCAGTATGTGACAAAACCTCTGACCAAAAATATACATGTTTGCTTATTAACATAAAATAATTTGACAAAAATCTGGTGCAAACTTTTACATAAATGTAGTGAATTGAGGTGGAATGACCCAAACAAGAACAAGAAATATACAGACACACAAACATGTTTATCACTCAGGTAGTTGTAATTTTCATGACTGAGGGTTGTACTCCTCGCAGACTGGAACAAATGGAATACACCTGAATAACACCGTCTTCAACAGCATACACACTAACAAACACAACTGAGTCTTTGAAAATTCTGTAATGTGAAGGATATTCTTATGTTAATATGATTGAAACTGTTCCTTGATGGTGTTTGTTCACTGCATCTCCTGTAGATAATCTCTAGAAAGACTATCCAGGATCTTACTGATCTTATTTGGAGCTTTTGTGCACATGGCGCAAAGACACCAAACATAAAAACTGTGTCAAACCTCTTGTATCACCACAAGAAAATATTTATTTGCTGTAATGCTGTATTAGCTGTGTGCATGTTAGGTCTTTTTCATCATGGCGCCATGACAAACAGAATTGCCAGGCATCTCGCGTTTTACAGTAATGTCTTTGTGCCTAATTTTTAATCAGGCCATCTTGCTTCCTTTTGAAGTATAAATTCATTGAGAACTACTGGCATGACACACACAGACAGCAATTATGAATATGGCTAGAGGTTATATAGTGAGAGGCATGAAAGGTCGAGCACAAAGTCATCAGTGTACCACACAGAGAGTCTGTTTAGGCTGTCCTAAACGCAATTGTTATGGTCGTGTTCACTGCAGGGAAATGAAATCTCTCATGTATTACCAGTGCACTTAATTTTTTACCCACGAAAGCTCAAGTATCAATCAAGACGTTGGGACAGAGGACCCCCAAATATAATTCTATGATCTGATCAGAAGTCGAAAGTAAACACTTTGAAGAGCCATTTCAGCATGTTTGACTTGCCAAAATGGATGTGCTCCCTGTTTGATTGCATTATACTAATAGAGCTCTTTTGGAGGATGTAATTAAGTGGAGTTTATAGTCTTAGATTAAAGCATCCTCTAGATCACAGGCAATGTTAATGGAGTGATGCATTTTCACTGGAAACCAGATGGGAGAACATCACAACAGAACAAAACACCATTGGCTACAGTAATGGGCAGGCAGGGCTCGACTATTGCCATGCAAAAGAGAAAACATCTTCATAATGAATCACTCTCAAACGAGTAAGGAAGAAGAAACCGGTGAAAAAAAAAAACACACAGCGAGCGAAGCAAAAAAAAAAAAAAAAAGCATTTCCTCTGTATTTAATTCAAATTTATAACGACAGTAAGCAGAGCAGTTGCAAAACAACACAAATTACATTTATTTGGAATTTAAATTTCCTCACGTAAACACAAAACAAGCGTGAGAGTTTATAATATGTCTTACGGGCATGTTATTATTCTTCAAAAGCTGTTAATCTGGTTGTTTATGTCCACACAATTCTCAAGTATTCTCATATGTTAACTAAGGTTCCTTCGGGCTGCATTTGCTCACTTCTGTTGTGCTTTCCGTCTGTTGGACTCGGGAAGAACACAACTTGCCAGCCAGAACTTGCGTAGTAGCCACAGATTGTACAAAACGTAACCTTAATGTTTAACGTCACGTAGAAAGCCGAAGCGGTATATTTTGTTTTAGCAACACTTGGCGCTCATTCAAATCATTAAGAAGCGTTGGAGACCTGCTACATGGGGGGAATATAACATCTGCACGACATGAGCAGCCTCGGTATGCGTGAGCTTCACTGTAAGTTAATGCAGGTACATATACAATGCTCCACATGCACTCCGGTTTAGTGAAAGGAAAAAGGAGTTTTTCGGTTCATTCCTGTGCCAACGCTTGTCACAAGCTGACAACAGCTTCATATGTTGACGCAGAGCCTAGTTTGATCTTAATTTGACATCCAAACTGGCGGTGCGATAGGTAATGTGAGGACCTCAGCGTTCTGTCATTACCATTTTAAAGGGAACTGAACTTTAGCGCGGTGCGACATGGAATCTCACATGTGCTGAGGCCACCC